CTTCTCACGCTCAAATCAGTCAAGATAGCTTCTGTTCCAGAATCAAATCCACAAACACACAACTAATAATACACAACCTATGTGTGCATACTGTAGCAAAATGATCAAGACAGAACTGTATGGTTTGTGTATATAACGAACAAACACACAAACACAGAAGGTCTTTTGTCTGTCTCCCTCTGAAGCTGCTGTTCCGTGGTCCAAGTGATACCTCAAGAACCAAATTAGATAAAAATCTGGACAGAAGTGTGATTTAGACTAAGATGCAGTCTACTAAAAAACAACAAACACACAGATTAAACATACAATTCAGACAAGTTATGAACAGATTAAACCTGTGTAAACAAGTCAGTGATTTAGGTGCAGCTTCAACTCCAATGACTGTACAATCTCTACTTCAAAACTTCAAAAGTCTGTTAAAACAAATTAGACCAGCCCAGATAATGAATCCTCGATGTATCAGGCTACAACTTCAAGCAACTAGCAACCTTGCAATTTGTTTACTAAACCAATTTACCAAACCAGATTAGATAGAAACAGTGAGCAAAAGTAGGTCAAACAGCAGTTGTGAAGAAGATGAACATTCAAGAAATTTTCACCAATTGAATAACCAATCCAGTCACAACTCAAGTGATTGTCTAAATCGCATAACACAAGAATGAAAACAGTGAACAAGGTATTGATCGATTTATCCAAATGAATCAAGAAATAGTGAACAAATAAGAATCTGGGTAAGTTGAATTGAGCGGTTTAGAGGTCCGGACACTTATCCAGTCAAGAGGTGAACGTATCTAGACAAGTCCGCTCAAGGGTTAAATGAATCCGGTCAAATGTCCGGTCAAGTGATGATCGGTTTAGGTATAAACCGCTCAAAATAAACCTTGAAATAAGATGAAATTGAAAAGAAACATCAAACCTGTTGATCGATTTAGAATCCGTTCAAGAGTTCTGCGATTTAGCTCCTTAATCTGCTGAAGAGGTGTGCGGTTTAGCTTAAACCGCTCAAGAACCCCTGTCACGTAGTGTACGGTTTAACCTTGCTCGAATCCGATTGATGCACGCTGTGATTTGCGAATCTGATGGTATGGTGTACGGTTTATCTTAAACCGCTCATGTGTCCGGTCAAGTGTTGTGCGGTTTACCTCTTTATCCGCTCAAACTGTCAATGAAGCCTGCGATTTTGATATCCATTCAAGTCTCCCATTCAAGCTGTGCGGGAAGATGAATGAAGTAACCGGACTCTTATCCGGTCAAGATATAATGGGCCAGATTGATTTTAAGCCCAAAGAAAACCTAAGTGTTTAATCCGGTTAAACTTTGGACGGTTTAACACAAATTCAACCAAAATAAAATTCAAAAGAAGATTAAAACCTATCAAAAACACAAAAATAAAAAAAAAACTTTTAAAAAAATGGATCAAAAACACTGGTTTTAAAAGAAATTCAAGAACACGAAAAAAAATTCTAAAAACACAAAATCCGATTAAATCTTGATTTAAAATGATCAAATCACAAAAGTTTGTGAATAACAAAGATTCACAATTCAATTTCGAGCATTTTGATCCTGTTTTTAACACAAAAAACACAATATTTTATGAAAAAATGGGATCAAAATCTAAAAAAAATGAAGAACACGAAGAACAAAAAAAATTCAGAAAATAAAATCTTCACTTATCTCTGATTTCTTCATCTGATTTCTTGCAAACATGCTTTGATACCAATTGTTTGTCCCACAATTCACTGATCAATCTTCATTCTTCATAACAATAATGGCAGATCTGGATTTATCTTCAAGAACACCAAGAACAATATTGAGAGGAAAAGTCAATGCATTCSAATYCAGTCAAACCTCTTAYTACGTAATCTGATTTACAAATGAGCTCTCTCACTAACAAATTACAAAGACTATTCTATTTATATGGTCAAACCTACTAACACAAGTCAAAGTCAAACTCCTATAAGAAAAGTCAAACACGCYGACTTTTACAATTATAGACTATATTTAACTTTCAAGACGAATACAATTAATACTGATTCAGTCCTAACATTTCTAATGTTTGTATAGTTCTTTCTGTCTGTCCGTCCGTTTGAGGATGATAGGAAGTGCTCAAGTCCAAACGTGTACCCAACGCTTTCTGGAGTGATTGCCAAAATCATGACGTAAAATGACTATCTCTATCCGAGATGATGGAAATAGGTACCCCCTTAACACGTAACGATTAAATTGACGTAAATTTGTGCAAGATTTTCCATCTTGTAGTCTTCCCGAATAGGAAGAAAATGTGCAGATTTTGTAAGTTGATCCACTACAACCCAAATTGAGTCGTGTCCTTTAGTGGTTCTAGGCAGTTTGGCGATAAAATCCATGGAGATTTATTCCCATTTCCATTGTGGGATCTCGGGTTGATGTAACAATCCGAACGGCTTTTGATATTCTGCCTTGACCCTTGAGCAAGTCAAACATTTCCCAAAACTTTGTACATGCAAAAGATGTCCATTTTGAAATATTCATGCCAAAAAAAATGTTCATTTTGAAGTATTAATGCCAAAAATGTCCATGTAAAAGGACATTTTGGAAATATAAATGGTATGATTTCGATTGGGAAATGCTTTGTCCCAACCAATGATAGGTTTTCGAGTTAATCATGCCTTTAGAGTATGTGTTTGCAGAAATGTTGATTAAATACATTTTCTTGTTTATGATAACTTTATTTAATAGTCAATTGGATTGTTAAAGCTTTTGGCACAATGTTGACTCAGATGAGTCTTGGGGACATTTGTCCGATTTGTTTTGTTCTATGTTGAGCTTCTGGAGTTATATGTTGTTGTGGCGTATTTATTTGAAAATGTTACATGTTTTGAGTACGTGGTCGTTCATTTTGGGTCATATAATTTAGACTGTAATGCAATGAATCAATAGGTACAAGAGTCGGTCAATTGGTTTTAAATAGGAACTTTATCCCTATTTTGTAGCTAGAATTATTTAGGATCAGCGGAGGACTTAAGGTATAGACTGTTAGTGGTTGAACTTGATGACCATGTGATCCTTAGTGAAGGACTGAGGTACAGTGTGGTTGGTTGAACTTGATGATCGCATGAGTCGTAAGGAGGACTCAAATTGTTAACCGTAAGTGGTTGCACTTGATGACCATCAGGACGTAATAATTATTATTTCTAGTGAACGGCTATGACTAGGATCGGGGAGGACTTGGACTATAGACATGGGCTTTTGAACCAGATGACCGTGCCATCCCTAGTGGAACTCTCTAGCATAGAATGCAACTTACTTTAGTGTTCGCCACATTTGATGGATATAAGTCTCCCTCGTCACTAAAAGGTGCTATTTTTTGGATAAGTGTATCATCCATATTTTCGGTGTTGTTTTGAGTATAAAGTGTATCCGTAATTTATTGTTTTAGTATTTTGGAACTTATTCATGTTTTGGGTATTTTGGATAACAGAATTTTGTTCACATTTTCAGTATTTGAACATTTAATCGCATTCACGTTTTGGTTGATTATTGGGCTTTGGTTTTATGACAAGTGAGTGTTCTGGTAAATGAGATTTCATCATGAAAATGGTGGCTTTTGAAAAGATGTATTTTAAACTAAATAGGTTTCTTTTGGAAAATGTGATTTAAGTAACATCTTTTAATTTTACCGCTTTTATATTTTTGATGAAAACTGATTGAATTTACTGGGCGTTAAGTCTAGCCCATTTTATTTGTTGGCATGTGCATCAGGTCCTCGTTGGGTAATGCTATCAGCGACACCGTGAAGAGTTGAATGCTAGTTACATGCACGAGGAAGATTTAGCTTTTCTGGGACGTCTTCCGTATTTTGGGATAGCGATTGTAATTGGATTTTAGTAACACCCGACTTTAACCTAAAGTTTATTGTAAGGGTTGGTTTATGATTTGTTGGTGATGAATATAGTTTTGATATCCGAGGTAATTCAAGTGTTGATTTATAGAAAAAGATTTAGTTTTTTCGGGACTTCTTCCATCGTTTATTGCTCTTATCCCCAAGGTACAAGATACAGAATTTGTTAAAGATTATAGGCCTATTAGCCTAATATGGTGCCAATACAAAATTAATTAGCAAACTATTGGCTAATCGACTATGTTATGTCATTAGCGATGTGGATAACAAGGAACAATCGACTTTTATTAAGGGTCACCAAATTCTGGATGGTTCTATTATTTTAAATGAGGTGGTTGCGTACTTACGTGGTATAAGAAACATATGAAGAAACTCATGGTCTTCAAGGTTGACTTGGAAAAAGCCTATGATTCTTTGAGATGGGACTATCTTGAATGTTGTGCTTGAAAAGATGGGATTCGGCAATAAATGGTACGAGTGGATTTTTGGATGTTTAATGAAATTGACGAGCTTGGTTTTAGTTATTGGTTCGACAACAAAAGAATTTGACATCCTAAGGGGGTTGAGACAAGGTGATCCCTTGTCTCCGTTCCTCTTCATTTGGGCGATGGAGGGGCTTAATGTGGCTATGAAAGAAGTAATCGCGAAAGACTTGTTTCGGGGGGTGTGGGTTGGTAATGGTCAGCATCATCTTTCCCATATTCTTTATGTTGATGATGTGATCTTTCCTTGGAGAGTGGTCGATTCAGAATACTAGGAATATTATCCGTCTTAATTCTTAGATGTTTCTAGCCTATTATTTGATCTCCATAAAAGCTAAGTTGTTTGGAGTTGGTGTGGATTCCGAAGTGGTAGAGGAAGCTCCTACGAAATGCCATTTTGTTATCTAGCCAAGATCCAAGGTTGGAAGGTGGTGGTCGATAATTTTCTCTCTGAACCATCGAATTGGATGGTTAAAAGCTTATATCTTACCCTTCTCAAATCAGTGTTTGGACCTGCCATCTTTGGTTGTCAAACCGTTGGAATCCGTTCAGAATTAATTTACATTTTGCAATATGTTTATTTGAAAATATATCCAGCATAAAAGTAATCCTATGGTAGGTTACTTAAATTTAATCTACTAAAAATTGTTGCCCTCATAGGTTTTCTCGAATTGCCAATCTTTAGGAGCGACGTTTGGGGATTCTACGAGGCGACCATCGCTTCCGTGAACCTGAAAGCTGAGTGATTGACCTGTCAAAACAGTACCCGTGTGCCAATTTTGACCCCAATTTCTAGTCATTGGAATCCAAGCTCCTTCATCTCCCTTGACGTCCACACCAGTAACGTCGCCTGCCCCTCCAACGTTCCATACTAACACTAGTAGGAAATAAGGATTTCCGCTTATCGTGAACTTGATTCCTCCTTGCCTAACGCATGGAATCCTACAAAATTAACCAATACCACCACACATACAAACATTATATATATATATATATATATATATATATATATATATATATCTTGATAAAATAAATGATATTCTGAGTTTGTAACTTTAAACAAAGTTAAAGCTTAAAAACATCCATGTAGATGATATAATTAACATGAAGGGCTTAATCATTTGAGAACCCATCAAATTGTGATAACCCTGAGAACTTGTGCATTTCTTATGCTTTTTTCTATCTAGGCATACTATTTAATGTATTGATTAACATATATTTGTTTTACAGTGTATTTGTTTTATATGTATTCGTTTCACAATGAGTTTGTTTTATATGTATTTGTTTTACAATGTAAAAAAATTTACGTGTATTTTGTGTTTCACAAATACATCAAAAAGAGTCCACATTGTAAACTGAACAGATGTGAAACAAATGTATGTTAATCAATATTTTAAATCCTAGTTTTAAATGAAAAAAAATCATATGAAATAATACATGATGTACAAGTTCTCAAGGTTATCACAATTCATGGGTTCTCAAAAGAAAACCCTCCATTAACATAATACAAGGATAAATTAGTTTTTAAAAAATAGTATACAAGCAAGGACGGACCCAGAAAAATTTCAAGTGGTGACACCATTTGACTATAATAAACAAATATAAAGATATTTCTCACTAAATCAATATTGGTATATTGATTAGTTTATTGTTTTCCATATGTAAGGTCTTATGGTCAAGTATTTTGTTCCAAATTGTTTTCCAGTTGCATAATAAATATGAAATTAAAAGTAAAAGCCTAAAAAAATTAATGGTACTAACATGATTCAAACTTAGGTCTAAAAAATGATGTTACAATAGTTGTTGTGACGAACTTAGACAAGTTAACAAATTATATCGACGAAGTTGGACCGCTTAATTAATAGGGATCCAAAAGTAAATCGCCATATTGAACTTTCTATAAGACACTTTCATATAAGCGTCTTCTAGAAGACAAACATGGCGCGCGGTTCACTTCTTGTGCCCTTTTATATTGCCTAACATCATTTATTTATAGTTTTCAACTTCATTCTAACAGCTTATTCTAAAGACCCATAATTAGTTGTTGGTTCTACGAGTTTAACGTCTACTCTATTAATTACGAGGTTCGATGATGGTTAATTGTCTAGGTTGACCATCTAAAAGCTAGGATTATTTTGCTCTAGTGTTAGTGTTCATAGTCATGTATGCAAACCAATGAACCATTGCCAAATTAATAGTTAAAAGGAATACGTACTTTCGATACTGAACAGGAGTAATTCCAGCCTTGTATTCTGCAAGCATAAGAAACGATGGTTGAGACAAGTCGAAATGCTCTCTCGGTGGGTTGCACCAACCGCCATTGTCGTTTGGTTGAGAGGGATTTGGCGGGCAGAAGTTGGTGGCCGTAACGGTGATGGATGCACCCTCGGGTTTGCACCACTGGCTGTTGTTGAAGCACTTGATTTCATAACAAGCACCACATGTTTGGCCGTCGTGGAACATAACTGTGCTCAATGCTGTGTTGTGTTCACCATATCCTTCTTTCATCACATCCCCATAACCACAAGCTCCCCCTATGTGTGTTTGAAATTCAGAATATATATCACATATACAATATACTAATACAAATCTCAACAACCATTTTATAATTATGAATGCTTGATGATTGATAATATAGGTGAAGGATCGTGTGAGAATGAGAGCCAAGGTGAGAAACATAAGAAAGGATCTAGACCCTTGATCGATCACCTTTAATCTCAAACCCCTTCATACTGAAATTGATCTGTTGCATCTCATCCTAATGAGTATTCAAAACAGTGGAGAACCCTTCTTACATTTCTCACCTTAGATGTAAAAACTTTTAGTTGTGAAAATATAAATGGACCGGACCGGACCAGACCAGACCAGACGAGACACGTCCGAACTACTATTTGTTTTTGTCCATGTCCGTCCGTTACTCTTTTAATTAATGAGCTAGTCTGGACGGGTTCAATTTTTTTGAGAATAGTTGTTTAATTATTCTAGCACGTCTAACGGGTCGTCATGTCTATAAACAAGTCTAGTATATTTAATCAACCAAATCCTGCATTCACGATCATGAGCGAAATCATGAGCAACTTACAAAGGGTGGTACGTTCATCCCCATCGATGTCGTTGTTTTCTAAGAATTTGACATAGCTAGAACGAATGGTGTTTTGCCGTACGTACCCATCGTATCTATTCCATCGCTACCACCATAGAACGTGGCATGAGCTTCCTTCCAAGGAACAGGATCAGGTGATTGGCTGTGGAGGAGAGTGGTTCTCATTTTCGGATTAACGGAGTTAGCACAATTAGCATTCTGCAAAATAACAATAAGAAGCAACCAACATGAACAGATAACAGATCTCAAAGGTGAAAACGCCATCAGGATCGAATGTTTTTGAAATTGTTTTACATTGATTGGAGGTTAACAGTGGTTTCTTTAGCTTGTATCCCATTTGTGGTGATGATTTACACATAAAAAACCGACGGGTTTCAGTTAGTTGATGACAGTTTGTGGCTATCTTTAATTTGTTTGATGGACTAACCCAAAATAGAAGGGAATAAGAACATGTGCAACAGCTTAAAACCGAATTCATGGATCTGATTTTTTTGACTTTTTATTCGGAAACAACATTATAAGTTGTGCATGGTGATATTTATATTGTAATCAAGAGATTTAACACCTTATGCATTAGTATTATCGGCATTGCATTAGGACTTGTATTTAAGACTTTTATAAAATTTGATTTATAAGGTAGTATAGATAAAAGAAAGAAAGAAGGCGATGGAGCAAAATAGAAGAAAGTCAATAATCTAGGAAGAATTAGCTTAATAAAATACTCAAAAAGTGTAAATTAGATGTCAAAATAACAGTTATGTTAAGAATGGTAAGAACATATAAAAGTCGACTTTTTAATCTAGCTTAATTTTTTTTTCAATTACATTCATCTGCATTTATTCTCATTTTTTAGTCAATTTCACAAATGTTTACATACATTTAATCACTTTCACACGGAAGAATTTGTTAGAGTTTCAGTAATGATAATAAAAATAGGCAAATAAAAGTGGTAAAATATAGATGAAAGTGTACATACATACATACATACATACATACATACATATATATATATATATATGATAATAATCAAATGAGAATCACAAAAAGGTTATAAACTTATGAGAATCGACATAAAGATATTTTTTATATGAATTTTTTTCATCAAAAACTATGATTTAATATATTCTTTTACATGTGTATGTGTTAACCTTATGGAAAAAAAAATTACATGTGAAACTTTTTTTTGTTTCATTTGGTGAAATGAAAAATTTACATAAAAAATATTCACGTGGTGAAACAAATACATGTGAAACTATTATATTATAAAACAAATATATGTGAAGTAAGATCTTAAATCCTAACATTTGATGGAAAAAATCATGTAAAAAATTATTTTAAAATCAGTTTTCACTAGTTTGTAATATTGTGGTTCTCATTTGATTTGCCCTCTATATATGCATACATACATATACAGAGGGAGGACCAAACGATAACGTTACCTATTTAAAATAACACGAAAACGGGAGAATCATATGTGATTTACACTAACATCACATACAAAATCACATGTGATTTAGGCGACCATACCCCGCGATCTGAAGATGTCTTCAGCCACAAATCGTTCAGACACTTTTTTGACTATTAATGTAAAATCACATGTGATTATACACGTAATTTGACCGTTTTTGTATTCTTTTAAATAGGTATTGTTCTCGTTTGATTCTCCCTCTCTATATATATATGTGTATGTGTGAGAGAAAGAGAGAGAGAAAGAGAGTAAATTACATTGTTAGTTCCTATAGTTAGCTCAGAATTTGGACATGGTCCCTATTTTGAAATAAGTAGACTAGTTATGTAGTTTGCATTTTGTTAAGAGTTGGGTCACAAACACGAACGTCATTAACTTTAATCCATTAACTCAAGAGTACTTTATTCATTTTATAGTGTATTTTGCCTTTTTCCTATTAAATTGTTTTTTTAATATAAGTCTGTTTAAATAAGAACTATTTTGTTTGTTGTAACCGTAAGATTCAATCTCAACCACAAATCAAAGGTTAAATTAGGAAAGTAATAATTTTGATAATTTTAACTTAAAATATTAATTAAGGGCATTTTAAGGATTTTATAAATATCATCTCTCATCTCTCATATTTTCTCTCTCCAGAGAATCTTATTCGGCGAACCTTATTCTGATGAACCTTATGTGAACACAAGATACACATTGTGATACCTACAAACGATATTCACTCTGATACCCAGATATAATACAAGATGCACAATGTGATAGCCTTTGTACAACAATGAAAATAACAAAATGCACATGATGATACATTTCATAAAATAAAGAAAATACATTGTGATACACGTAAAACATTGTGAATGTTATCACTATGATACACTTTGATTCACAAATGTCTTTAAAATACGATGTATATTAGGTAATTGATATATTAGGTAACTAATTTTAATTAAATATTTCCTTCTAAAAAAAATAATTAAATATTTTGATTAGTTGTCAAAAATAGAATTACTATATTACTCTTTTAGTTTATTTAAAAAATATCTTTAAATATCTCAAACGAGTGGTTCGCATTGGATCATACGGTTATCTCAAATCTCCATTGAATGACTCATATATATATATATATATATATATATATATATATGTTTATTTAAATTAGAATTTTAAAAATTGAATATTATTATTTGGTTTCTCGGTTTATTAGTGATAATAATATGAAAATCAAAAAATTATTATATTCATTAATCCACGAAATCAGTAACAGATCCAAACAAAGATTCATGAACTGGTAAAAATATAATCAACTGTGAAACAGATTCATGTTAGATTTGTTCATGAAAACGTTCATTGAGGAGTTTGTTTTATGAAACGTATGCAGATTGGTTCGTGAAACGTTCATTGGGGAGCTTGTTTTATGAAACTTTTGGGGATGAACTGGTTGCGTAATATAATATTCTTGCATAATCTTATTTTCTTATCAATAATATTTGATGAAGTTGTTTCATTTTGTTTTTTGTTTTTTGGATGATTTTGTTCACTTAATGATTATTAACAAAGCATGTAGTTGTAAATGTATTGACTCTATGAACGTGTTCGTATTGGAAGAAATTGGCTAATGAAATGGGTGCATGAAGAAAGTGAAACCATTTCATAATTGATAAGAAAATGTTGTTTAATTAGCGAACAGTGAAACCATTTCGTTATTACGATGAAACGGATCCATCTACCAATAACAGTGAAACCATTTCATAGTTAGATTGAAACGGATCCATCTACTGGAAACTTGAAAATGACAAATGTCTCATCTAACATTACGTTGATTTGTGTATTGATGAAATTTGAAACCATTTCGTTCATCAAATGTAGTAGTAATTTTTTTTTTTATTCAATAGGTTTCATTATGTTAAATTGATTATAGTGTATTTTATTTTTATTGTTGATCTATTTTAATGATAGATGTTATTTTTTTTATAATATTTGAACATAAAATTAATATATTATTTTACAAATGATTTTGTTTCATTAATATTACGATATACATGATATGATTGCTATTAATATTACCACTACCAAAGTTACTATTTTGGCCTTTTTGAGATTATAAAATATTTTTTTATTTTTTTAATTTCCTAATATAACCTAAACTAATCTTGACCATTGATCAAGAAAATGAATGGATGAGATTGGTTTACACAAATGAGAGCGGTTTGATTGCTCCTATATATATATATTATCATACAAATCAAATGCAACCTTCCATATTGTTAGAATCCTTAGGGGACATTTGGTTCTTTGGAATCCCCCAGAATTGGTTGGAATTGGAATGGTCAATTCCGTTGATCAAATTCCATTACAATGTTTGGTTGTCCATGGAATGGAATCGAATTCTAAAGATTCCTAAATTTGAGGAATTCATCATTCCTTAGTAAATTTAATTGAATTGAAATTCATTCCATCCAAAAATGTTTCCAGTGATTTATACCTCTTGCAATGAAAGTTTTACCTCTATCTAAATATTCGACATTAATTAATATTCGATATTAAGTAACCAACTCACCTGAATTTTTTTTACTTTCAAACTATAAAAATAATAATGGATAAGTTGAGACATTCACAACAAGACCACAAAATGTCTATCCCTCGCAATCCAACTCCATCAAAAGGAGGGGGACTAAGATGGAGGTTCAGTTAGATCAACATTCATTTTTTCAACTTTAGATTTGCCATTTAGAGCGTTATAGAGATCAACAGTCACTAGATCATTAAGATGTGGTACCTGAGAAGTGTTGGAAGATTCAGTTGAGGAAGAGGTCTCGGATGGTTGATCTTTGACTTCCTTGATCTTGGGTACGAGACAGAGACATGCCTTATCTTCTTCATCTAAAGAGGATTCATCAGAGGATTCTGCCCAGTCGTGATCTTCAACAATACGACATTTGCTTTTACTCTTGTTGTGTTTCATCTTCTTATACTTTTCTTTCAGCTTTAAGTACTTGTTGTCTTTCATTTTGAAGGAAGAGAAGGTTTCAAGAGTTTCTTTGACCTGCAGTCACTAGCGAAGTGTCCTTTTCGGTCACAATTAAAACATATGTTGAAGCTTTATCAATAGATGTTTATTTAGGCTTGTTAGTGATGGCTAGAATTTAGTTTCTTCGTAAGTTGCTTTCTCTGGAAAATATTCTAAGAGAATTTCTTAGAAGTGTCAGCGACTCATCAAATTCTGAGAGATTAGGGTCAGATGAGTCTTCAGAAGCACATAGCTGAAGAGGAGATTCATCAATCTCAATGACGGTGATGGATGAGATATTCGAGGGAATGGTCCTTGAAGAAACAAAAGCTACAGGAGAGCTTTTTGAATCTATTACAAAATTTTTCTTAAACTGTCTGGATTACTCATGATTCAGCAATATACCATACAGAGAATTGAGAGAGAGATTGTTAAGGTCCTTTGAGACTTTATTGAGTGCGTGTCCTAAGACTCAGAGAGACATTCCAAGAACTTTGTCAGAGTCTAGGAGTTTGAATATTATCTTCCAACAGTTATAAGGTCAATTAAGAGACAGTTAAATTGTTGGTGAACCTCAGACAGAGATTCATTTTTGAACAAATAAACATGTCATATTGCCTAACCAGATTTATTTTTATGGTCTCTTGTACTTCAGTAGTACCTTCATATTGAACACAAAGTGTGTCTCACATGGCGTTAGAAGTTTTGAGGTTCATAACAGAATGATATACCTCATCAGGAAGTACCATGGCAATGACAGTTCTTGCCTTGTAGTCCATGACCACTTTTGTTCTGTCATCATTCGTCCATTGATGAGCTTGTTTAGTGATAAGTGTTAATTTATTAACCTTATTACATCATTTTCTTAACCATTTTCCTTTGTTTTTTTGCCCATTAGTGTCTTAATTGAGTCTTTTTATGTCTTTTTCATATATTAGTAGTAATATAATATATATAATGTTAATCCCCTGTTTATGCAGGTTTTTGATGATTTTTGGGCCCGATCCTGCAGCAGTCCTGTAGGACCAGGAGTGGCAATGTCCTATAGCACCTGTGCGAGAGCTGCAATCCTGTTTGGGCCGAGAAGTAATGGGCTGCTCCTTAGTGATTGCTAGGTCAACGACCTTGGGCCTGGTCAAAGCCCATTTTTGAAGAGACTTTTGCCTTATTAGTTGGCTTCCACTAAGCAAACTCCCTTAGCCTATAAATAGAAGGCTTAAGTTTAATTTACCAATTCACCAACTTACACACTTTCTTATGCTTTTGATACTTCCTTCCAATTAATCTTTGTGTTGAATATTCTCTAGATTATTGTTTTCGGTTCCAAGCTTTCGGTATTCTTGTTTCCAATCAAGAACCGATTTATGTGAAGTAAAGTTGTGATTACGTTTTCAAGTTTAATTTAAGTACTCGTATTTAATCTTCATCTCATTTCTGTTTTTATTTCCAAGTTACGTTACGTTTTCTTACTTTTGTTACGAGTTATGAATTAGTCGATCGTTGTTGCTTTACATCGGATCTCATCCTTTGTGGCTCACGACTATTTACATAGACTAAATAATCTATTTTTACGAGTTTGCAAGTAACCTTTTCGATCTTTGTAACAAAACTTGTGTTGCAAGTTTTGTAACTTGTATACCAAGTTTTATTTAAAGTCAAACTCTATTTTCAAGGTTTTCATTAGTCAATTCTCATCCCATCAAACACTTGTCATACATCATGTGTTAGTTTAATATTAATTAATATTATTTAGTTATTAATAATTTATATTTCAGTCCTTTATATTTCAGTCATTTACATTTCAGTCTTTACATTTCAGTCTTTACATTTCAGTCTTTATATTTCAGTCATTTACATTTCAGTCTTTTATATTTCAGTTTTTATATTTCAATCTTTACTTTACTGCAACTTACATTTATGTCATTTAATTTCCAGCAATTTACTTTCGGTCATTTATATTCCTGTCATTTAATTTCCAGTACTTTAAATTCCAGTATTTCCATTTCCTGTAATTTACTTTCTGTAATTTATTTTTTGCAATTTACTTTCTGCAATTTACTTTTCCGTATCGTTATTTATTTTTCAGTCCTTACATCATTCGAGAGAAGAAACCGAACGATGATGGGCTAACGCCTTAACTTGGGGTGTAACGGGAAATTAAGATCAAAGTCGATGTGAAAGTACAAAGGTGTCTTATTAGCATTATAGTCTACTATTTATTTCAGGTGCTTAATATTTCATTTGATGATTACATTAAAATTAATTGACAACTAATTTTGTGTATAAAAATGTATTGACTTTCAAAACCTGAGGTAATAGGAGAAGGCTATAAATAGCTTTAGTGTCTGACAAACGCTATACTCCTACGGTGTAGGATGGTAACACTGTGTTGTGCTAGGATTCACAACGTCTAACATATATGATATCGTATCGATAGCACCTTGACCGGTGTGTACTCTTGGGAGGTCGTTTGACCCGATAGTTGATACTGTCATAGTTATATAAAATCATTTATTGATTTTAGATAATTGTGACAGGAATGCTATGTCACTTTTTTACTGAATTATTTGTTTAATGTCTTAATCAACTGTTGCACCATGTGCTTCTTTTTAAGATTGATATTTTCCTTAGTGTTAATCAAACCTCCCAATTTTAGATAAATCAAATCCCTCGTTTCGCCATCTGAAACTAGTTTTTATAAACTGGACTTTTGAAATAACTTTACAAGCTATCTCTGTGGGAACGATATCTGGTATTTTACCATTATTACTTGTTACGGGACGACAGTAGTTCGAGGTGTATACTTGCGCCGAGTTCTATTTTTGTGTTGAAATCTAAGGTTGAATAAACCGACGAGCAAGTTTTTTGCGCCGTTGCCGGGGATAGTACGCTGAAGTTTTTTCTTTTTAAAGTAAAGTTTATAAAAGTTAGTTTTTCTACCATCTCTTTTTGTGAACGCACCGTGCATGCCAAGGCTGTCGCACGGTGAATTTTTTTTCACTTGATCCGGATATTGAACAAACTTTCAGACAACGAAGAAGAGTGCAAAGAGCTCTTCGAGCTTTAAACTCTGAAACGATGGATGAAAATGTGATTATTGACGGAGAATGTATAATTAGAAATGAACCAAATATTCCACATGAGCATGAGGCTCAAAACATCTTTCGTCTTGCAAATGCTAAAAATGGTGGCATTATGGCGTATGCTATTCCTAACTTAACTCAACTGCACACAGGGATACGTAAGCCTACCATTGGTGCCACCCAGTTTTCACTTAAACAACTGATGTTTCAAATGCTTCAAACAAACGGCCAGTACGCTGGTTTATCTTCTGAAGATCCTCATTCTCATCTGCGTTCTTTTATGGAAATCACAGACTCTTTTCTCATCCCTGATGTTTCAGACGATGCTCTGAAACTAAAACTTTTTCCATTTTCACTAAGGGATCGAGMAAGAGCATGGTACAATTCTTTGCAACCAGACTCTGTGACTACATGGAATGAAATGGCAGAAAAGTTTTTGAAAAAAGTATTTTCCACCCACGAGGAATGCCAAATCCATAAATGAAATATGTACTTTTAGACAACTAGATGATGAAGCAGCTCCTGATGCATGGGAAAGGTATAAAGAGCTGCTGAGAAAATGCCCTCACCATGGCATTCCGTATTGTACACAGCTAGCGACATTTTACAACGGTTTAAATATCGTTGCTAGACAAATGCTCGATGCTACTACAGGCGGAGCTTTCACAGCTTGTACCTCTAATGAAGGTTTTGACATACTTGAAAAGATTTCTAATAATAACGGACAATGGTCTGACCCACGTGCAATGCCACTGAAGAAAACAGTTGGAATAAATGAGGTAGATGTTGTCTCGGCATTAACAGCTCAGATCACTAAGCTAATTTCAAATTTAACATCTAGCCCACATGTGCAATCTGATGCTAATACCTTTAATTCCAATGTTCAATCAGTGCAATGCATGTCCTGTGGTGAAGGTCACTCTTTTGAGCAGTGTCCTGGAAATCTGGAGCATGTAAATTATGTCAACAAGACTGGACCATTTTCACAGACTTATAATCCGGGATGGCGAAATCATCCAAATTTTTCGTGGCATGGTCCAGCTCTTAATCAACCAATGCAAAAGCCACAAGGACAGTCCAATTTTCAGCCACAAGGACAGTCCAATTTTCAACCACAAGGACAGTCCAATTTTCAACAGCAAGGCCAATCTAATTTTCACTCGCAAGCGCATCAAGGCAATCATAATAATCAACATGCTAATTTTCAGAATCATCAATCTTCTTTCCAAAGCAAGCCCAAACAGCAAGCTAAGTCATCTACTTCTTTGGAAGCAATGATGAAGGGTTTTATAACCCAAACTCAAGCTTCAATTAAAAATCTTGAAACTCAAATGGGACAAATGGCTTTGGAAATAACAAAAAGACCAGTAGGTTCTCTACCCAGTGATACAGAGATACCTCAGAGGGAAGGACAAGAGCATGTTAAGATTGTTACTTTAAGGAGTGGAAAAAATTATTTAGAAAACATCCAAAAAGAACAAAAAGAACCAACCAAAGCAGAGATAAAAAAGAAAAGTGTAGAACAAGATTTTGTTACCTCTGTACCAGAATTTTTGACTACCATTCCTGCGAACCATTCAGAGAGTACTAGTGAGCCTCAACTCATAGTCAGGCCCATAGATAGTACGACCATTCTAGAAAGATCAGATTTTCCACTGTTATTTCGTGATGAACCCAAGACAACTCAGACTCCCAAAGAAAGTGTTGTAGTGGATGTGTCACAATCTGGTGACAGTCCCGCAATAAAAGACCAGACTAGTCCTTTAATCCCTGTTAGGACTGAATCAGAACCAATTATGAGACCAGTTTTGAAATCGATTCCAGCACCAACTCTTCAAAAGACTACGTCTCCTATTGCAGTCACTCCTTATATTCCTTATCCCCAAAGATTAAGGAATCAAAAGGAAGAATTACAATTTAAAAAGTTTCTTGATGGTTTTAAACAGTTGCACATAAACATACCCTTGGTTGAAGCTATTGAGCAGATGCCAAGTTACGCAAAGTTTTTAAAAGACATTTTGAGCAAAAAGAAAAAGTTGACTGAATATGAGACAGTAGCTCTGACTGAAGGTTGCAGTGCTTTGTTGTCCAGTAAAATTCCTCCTAAGATGAAAGATCTTGGAAGTTTTACAATCCCTTGTTCAATTGGAGGAAAAAAGATAGGAAAAGCTCTATGTGACTTAGGTGCTAGTATAAACCTGATGCCTTTATCTGTTTTCAATACCCTAGGCATAGGTGAAGCTAGACCTACGACTGTAACTCTACAGTTAGCTGATAAGTCCATAGCATATCCCAGAGGAAAGACTGAGGATGTCCTAGTTCAGGTTGATAAGTTTATTTTCCCAGATGATTTTATCATCCTAGACTTTGAAGCGGACAAAGACATTCCCATCATTTTAGGGAGACCTTTTCTAGCTACTGGTAGAACCTTGATAGATGTATAAAAGGGAGAATTAACCATGAGAGTCCAAGACCAACAAGTGACTTTTAATGTTTTTAATTCCCTTAGGTACCTGGAAGAAAGAGAAGAGTGTTTCGCTTTGAGTCTGATAGAAACCTGGTGTCAAGAGAAAAGTTTGGGGGAAATCTTAGGTTTATCTGAGACTGATAGTGATGAAGAAGAAGATTTCGAGGAATTAGAAACACCACAAGAATCTGCTGCTTTTGAAGTTTTAGAAACTGAGAATAGGAATATT